AAAGCCCTTGATGAGTGTAACATCAAGATGAACTTATATCTTAAAAAATGTGAACAATAAAGCAATGACGGTGTATTTTGTTCACCGACGATATTTTTAACGATATGAGCTCATCCCGATGTTACACTTATCAAGACCTTTCATTTGAGTACCCACATTAATTTTTCATATATTTTATATATTTATGTATATATGAAAAATATATTTAAAAATGCCTGTGGGTATTCAAATGAAAGCTCTCGACGAGTGTAACATCGGGATGAGCTTATATCTTTATAAATATCAAGAGTTAAAAGAGTATAGTGCAATTTAACAAACCGTCATTATTTAATAAAGCAAAATTTTATTTATTAATATTTCCCTAGTCACGGCAGTCATATAGTGACTGCATGGTTACTAGTTATTATTAAATTTCTATTATATATTAATTAAAATTAATTATTATAAAATTTTAAAAGTAATTTTCATTTATTAAAATTAATATGTAAAATATTCATTAAATTTCTTTATTGCGGTACTTTATGAGCGTATTGAACTCGAGTTATTTTAGTATGAATTGTTGTTAAACACTATTTCCCATTCAATTATTTTTCGACCATTGAAGCTATTTCAAAATTTTACGATCAAGAATCCAAATATTTTGTAAATAATTAAGTAATTATAGTATGCGGTTGTTTATTGGCTTATACCGACTATGTTTAAGTTTCTTCGATTTATTGATCATAAAAATCAATTTAAGTATTTGTTAAAAGTATTTAAGTATATTTGCAATAGACTAATAAAATTATTCGATTATTTATTTTTTCTTTTATCTGCCGACTTATTTATCAAAATTAATTTTTTTATTACGTTAAATTCTCTTAGTTACTTAGAACTGTAATTTAATTATTTCTGAATACACCATAAGAATATATTTAACTTTTATAGCTTGACTAAAATATTCAAAAATTGTAAACATACTTACATTAATTCATTTTACTTTAAATGAAATTTCTAACAAATTTTCAGTAAAAATACTTTTTTAAAATTACAAAATATTTTTTTTTTTATCAAATTCTGAAATCACATTTTATTAAATTTAATGCAGATATTTTTTTTTTAGAATTAAATTTAATGAAAAAAAAATTACTTAATTTTATTTCATGTATATCACTTATTCATCTCATCACACCATAAAGTTTTTTGTAATTTAAACAGAACAGTCTGTTATTATCTTGTCAAGAAAAAAAAAAAAAATTTAAATGAATTTTTTACTTTTCACATCTGGCAGCAAAATTAAGTAATTTTATAGAAAAAAAAAAAAAAAAAAAAAAAAAAAAAAAAACAGTCAAATTTTCTCTTTATAATCTGTTGATCTGTTTTCTATTAAATATCTCTACTTTCATATCTAAAATATTTAATAATCTCTTAAGAATGAGCGCGTGGTACATATCAAAAATAGAATGTGAACATTAATAATGAGCATATTAAATTTTTTTCATTAAATTAAAAGTGACGTGAGATATTAAGTGGAAGCCGTTAGAGTATATTTATTTTATAAATATACTATTTTATCTGCACCTGAAATATTTAATCAAAATTTATTATTAATAATCAAAATGTTTATTTATTTGTTTTAGTGGGCAAAAGAAGCTGCCGAAGCGGAGCGACTTGAGAAGCAGATGAAACTCGAGAATGATGAAAACAATAAATCAAAAAATAAAGATGATCTTGCGCTCGCTATACAAAATCGAAACCGCGAACGTGCTGGACAGGCTGAAAATTTCTTTGATTCGCTGATTAATAAATATGCGAAGAAAGCCGAGAAGCCGGCTAAAAAAAATAATTCCTCTGCTAAAAAGAAGAAAAAAACATAAAAATATTTACCATTAACGTTTGCTCGATCAATAATCTAAGATACATATTTTCTAATTATCAATAATAAATATTATATTCATAATAATAATTATAAAATTAGTATTCTAACAAATTTCATGTTAAGTAATAAGAACCATCAGAATTCATTTTATTTTTTTTTTTCGGGAAATTTTTTTCTGCTGTATTGATATTTATAAATAAATTATTGTGTTTATAATTCTTATTCTTCATTCTTTTATACATTATGATGCGTTTTTTTTTTTTTATTTTAGTGTCATCTTCTGAACATTTTCTAAGAAAATTGTTCAGTTTCTTCAAGTGATTAATTCCTTAGAAATAATCGTTGGAGGATAGGTAAAGGCTGAAGCATGCGATTAATTAAAAAAAAAAAATTTAATTACTAATTGAAAAAACTGAAAACAACATTTTTTAATTTCAAATTATTAATAAGTTTATTTTAAACCGAACATCAAAATTTTCGCAAACATTTAATCAAATTATCAAATAAATTCCAATAATTACAAAAAGAATATTCTTATTGATTTTTTTTACAAAACGAATAGTCTGAATAAAAAACATAGTAAATTATTGAAAATTAATTTTGCAAGTATAAATAAAAAAAAAAAATTACTAATTGAAAAAACTAAAAACAAAATTTTTTAAATTAAATAGGCATTTCTTAATGGAAATGGTTGAATTTTCTATAAGAAACCAAACATACAAAGAAGAGCAAAGATTTTTAAAAATTTTGGACAATTACACTCAATCACAAAATTTATTTTTCCCCATTTTGTTTGTTTCTTTTTATTAAAATAATAATATTATTTGAATAAAAATAATCGTCGATTATCGTAAAATTTGATTGAAAAATTCTTGCTTTAGATCTGGTTCGTTTGCAAGAAATTGATTCACGTGTCACAACTAAATAAAAAATAAAAAATTAAATATTTTGTATACAGTTTAAATTACAAATCAATCTTACAAATAATATTACAGCAAAAAAAGTTTTATTTCATCTTAAATTTTAATTTAGTCGATAATCACGTACTGGTAGTACAGCCTGGAATAGCTTCCAGAAATTTTGAATACCAAAGCGGAAAACCCAATGTGACGATATAGTATCATATAATTAAAATTATATAGTATCTTATAATTTAAAATTTATAATTTATTATTTTTGAATTGTAATTAATTCCGCGCTTACGTTTTTTTTTTTTTTGCGACACGGTAATACCAGCAGCTCTTAATTCTCGCCTTTTCTGAAGCGCAATAAGTCATCTAGCTTCCTCCAATTGGTTTTCTCAGGCTTTACGGTTATTTATTTTCTGAGGTAATCTGTGTCCTCGTTGTCCTCTTTTTTTGGACTTGGTCTAGGAGAGATTCAAAGCACTCCAAACAGTGGTTCATTAATTCAAAAGTTATTGCGGTTTGAAAATTCAAAAAATAGTGTTCTGTGAAACTTCTATCAGGCTTCTGCGCTCGAAGAGCTCAAAAGCATAGAAAAGTTGTCTCTTTGAGCTGAGAGTGATCAAAATAATACATTAATTGAGCATTGCATTTTTGAGCTCGAAGAGCTCAACAATATCATAAGTGCAATTTTAAGCGTCTAAATATCGCGACCCAAATGCCAAAAGGGCGTATAATTTTTTTACTAATTGCTTTATTAACACTTTTTAAGCCTAAAAATAAAAAAAAAGAAATATCCAAAGCCAAAAGGGTGTTAAATTTGATTTAAAAGTTAAATTTTATATTTCAGAGCAAAATTGGAAGTTTTTTAGACGCCCTTTTGGCTTTAGGTTAAACATTTCTAAAGCCAAAAGGGCGTATGTTTTGAGATATGCCCTTTTGGCATTAGTACATTGAAAAAATTTTTTTGACAAATCTTTACGTTTTGAGCAATTCTAAGTTGAATAGCGAAAAAAAATTTTTTATACGCCTTTTTGGCATAAAACCCTATCTAGCTGCTGTAATACGCCCTTTTGGCATTTGGGTCGCGATATTTAGACGCTTAAAATTGCACTTATGATATTGTTGAGCTCTTCGAGCTCAAAAATGCAATGCTCAATTAATGTATTATTTTGATCACTCTCAGCTCAAAGAGACAACTTTTCTATGCTTTTGAGCTCTTCGAGCGCAGAAGCCTGATAGAAGTTTCACAGAACACTATTTTTTGAATTTTCAAACCGCAATAACTTTTGAATTAATGAACCACTGTTTGGAGTGCTTTGAATCTCTCCTAGACCAAGTCCAAAAAAAGAGGACAACTTTTTTAGACGCCCTTTTGGCTTTAGGTTAAACATTTCTAAAGCCAAAAGGGCGTATGTTTTGAGATATGCCCTTTTGGCATTAGTACATTGAAAAAATTTTTTTGACAAATCTTTACGTTTTGAGCAATTCTAAGTTGAATAGCGAAAAAAAATTTTTTATACGCCTTTTTGGCATAAAACCCTATCTAGCTGCTGTAATACGCCCTTTTGGCATTTGGGTCGCGATATGGAATTAACGGGAAGTTGCAGGGATGGCCTTTCGGGTGAATCGTTTTCTTAATTTTCTTTATGCGGTAAAGTTAATCCACTCACACAAACTTATTTAATTAAATTCTCAATTACTAACTTCATGAATACCAAACATTTTAATTTTATAAATAAAAGTAGTGATGTTACAATACGTTTTCGGTAGTAACCTAATATTTACAATAATTTGGTTTACATTAATACACAATAAAGAATAATGAAAATAAATAAATTTTACAAAATTGAACATATCATAAATAAAAAGCCTGAATAAAATTTTTTAAGTCTTGATAATTAAAATACTTAACTATTATTATTATCAATTCATATGGCAAAGGAATAGCTTTACGGAGATTTTCTACTTTTCTTAATGCTTCTAACTGCTCAAGTCTTCTTGATGTTTTTTCTATTCTATTCGAAATTTTTTTTCGGAAAAAAAAATAATCAGCAGTATAAAAACCTTCCACGGAATAACTACTAATATCAAGACTAAACGCAGGTCTCGAACCAATAGAAAGAAGATTAGGGTTCGGAAAGGTATTTTCGAACGCGTCTATTAAAGATTTATTTTTCACTATCAAACGCAATTTTTTATCATTAAAGCATGACATTATGAAGTCATAATACGTTTTACTTAAGCACTTCTGTTTTTAACTCCCCTTGAATAACATTTTGTTCGTAAGTGTGTGCTAGCTCCCTGAAATGTTTGTCTTCAGCAATTAACTTGTCCATCAATATTTTTTCATCTTCAGGAACGAATAAACCAAACGTACGTCTATAAATAAGGTCCTTTAGAGTTAAATTGATACTTGCTTTTTGTCTTATAATACCAAATCTTGTCTGTGAACTTTTAAGTGGACATAATGAGTAATGCAAAGCCATTGATTTTGAAATATTGTCATGATAAGCCAAAAATTTATCCAGTGTATACGGATAATGCTTGCGAGCCGCCATATTGAGTAATAAAGTAGTTGGATCATCATTTACGGTTGCGTTAACATCAGCACCGGCATCAAGTAATTCGTGAATCAATTCACCGCTATTCATATCATCCAACAAGCGACGCACTCCGGAGCCATTATCAAAGTTTGGATCATTTTCTATTTTTTGTTTACGCAATCTATAGTGGGCAGCAGTATAACCATCACTGTCACGGGCGTTTATCCATTCATGATCATGTACTTCTTTTATAAGTAAAGATGTGTGATTATTTTGTTCTGATTGTCAATGGCAAATACATCAACAGTGTTTTATTTTTCAGACTCTTAACTTTCAAATTTGCTTTGCCTTCGATTAATGATATCACAAGCGAATCATTATTAGCATATAGGATCGAAAAAGTTAACAAAGTCATCTTATTCCCAAAATCGTTGCGCCACTTGTCACTTTTAATGTATGTTGTAATAGTATATTACACTACAAGGGCAGAAAGTTTGAGATTCCTGCACTGCGCGCCATATCATGGCACGCAGTTCAGGGCTCTCAAATTTCTGCCCATGTAGTGTATACTAGTTTTCTTACTATGCGGTCGAAAGTACGTTAAAAATTGCGTTGAAAAAAATTGATGCCTGCCCCCGACATTTGCGGCACGAGCGAAGCGAGTGCTGCTGGTCGGGGGGGCAGGCATCAAATACACCTGTCAATAAAGATTTTAATATATAATTTATCGTATTACTACTTTCTTTTGAGAAAAAATCGTAATTTAACTGAATAAATTTAACGTTATAAATATATCATAAATTAACTCTGATTTTAAGAATAAAAAAAAAAAAAAAAAAACAGAAAAATGAAATAATAATCGTAAAATGCATACCTAGAAAAAAAAATTAAGAAAAAAATCTGGTTGTATATTTTTTCAAATAATTATTTGTTCACCAATAGATTTATTTATTTGAGAATATCGATCAGAATAAAGAATATTCCTCGTTTTTTTTTTTTTTTGTAATTTAAATATTTAACAAGTCTTATTTCATTAAAATAAAATGACAAAGTTAGTAGTAACTTAATCATTTCTTAATTTTTTTTATCAAATAAATAGAAAAAAAATGGTTTTTAAAAAATTGCATTTTTAATTTTTTAAAATTTCTACATGTCAATTTTTTTTCTAATTTTTTTTGCACTAATTTATTTTTTTTTAAATTCTAAAATTTATTAAATATCTGCTACTTTAATTTTCATTAAAATAAATATATTCATTTTCTGTAATTAACTCAGTTTCAACCTCAAATCATTGACACATAACAAGACAGATACATTCATAACAATCACAAGTAAGATTAGGCTTGTAAACATAAGTAATAGAGTGAGCGCGACCACCGACTTTCGGACTTTCTGCCGCCTCATGTCTCGTTGTCAGTGCATGAATACATTTTTTCGGCTCCCCGTCATAGAGCGCATGTGCGACTCAACCACGGCATAAATGTGAGGCTTTCTGCAGTGAAATCGCAGCGGGAACCCCGTACTTTCGACCAGACCACAGCATAGATGTCAGGCTTTCTGCAGTGAAATCACAACAGAAACCCCGTACTTTCGACCAGCGTAGTAAGAAAAAAGTTTTTCTCCTATTTCAGCATCAACGTTGGCACCAGCTCCTAACAAAATATCTATAAGTTTTTCAGGCATCACAAGTTCGAATAAACACGCAAAGTGAATAGGTTGAGCTCCATCGTCAGCAACAGCATTTACATTTTCATGGTAGTCTTCAACTAATAATCTTATAAATTCTTCATCTCCATTCATACAAGCTATATGCAATGCTGTGTATCCAGCAAAAGGTCCAATCGTTTCTATAGGTGCATTGTTAATTATTTTATCTTCAAAAAATGAGCTATTATTACGTCCCATTTGATGATTTGAAATAGCTTGACACACTGCTAAACAGTATTTATCAATTGCATCATCCAAATTATGTTTATCTACGCCCAGACCCTCCCTACGCGATGCTTTTTTTACGACTATTTCCCTATCCATTCTTTACAACTACAATTTTTTTTAATTATTGTAATAATTAAAGAGTGAGAGTCGTTATTCACTATAGTAACCACTAAAAATCGCTTTATTCAATAATGAATTATAAATTTTTTATTTTTTACTTTTTTACACTATTATTCGGTATATTTAATCTTATGCCACTCCGGAGTCCGATATATCAATTAAATCACTAAAAAATAACCAGATAAGAATATTGTTAGATTTTACTATATAGTTTTTTCTGTGTAGAAATTTCTTAGTTCTGAGGGTTATTTTAAGATGGTTACAATCATATCAACAATTTATTAATATTAACTCTTTTCGACAAAAATTTAAGAACTATCCAACAATTCAATTTTTATATTTTTACTCGATAATTTTGGAATGGAAAAATGTTGCAAGAACCTTTGAGATGAAAATTAAAATATATACAGTACATCTTAGTTATAAGTTATTATATTTCTTTCTCTCTTCTATACTAACATGAAATATTTCAAACATAGATATAACAGTTTAAGTTGTGAGAGTGAGTAGATCATCCGACGTAACTTATGACCAGGTTGTACATCTTTACTCAATAGTATTTGTAACTCCTATTCTTCCCCGCTTCACAGCATTATTTCATTTTTCATGAACTCTGCCGTCAATCTTACGGCTAAAAATTACAATAATTTTTTTTTTAAATATCTAAATTTGGTCATTAAAATACTTTTTTATTTCAATATAAATAAAATTTTGGAATTATTGATTTCTTCTGTTTGTCTAAAATTTTAAAAGAAATTAATAATATTTCTTAAAAATAATTTCTTGGACCATAAAAAAAATTATAAAATTCTGCAGTAAAAATACAAAGAGTATTATATATTGTAGGTGATAATTGGAAACAGAATATTTAACAGTATAAAATATTTGAGGCGTTAATCATTTTCCAATTTTTTTTTTTTTTCAAAATTTTTATAGCAGTAATATTTTTCTTTGCTAGAATATTGAAAAAGTTATCCTAAAAATCTCTGAAAAAATCACATTATTTATAAAATCTATACTAATAAATGGAAAGCCGATTTGTTTGTCTGGTAATACTGCAAAAACTACTGAACCGATCAGAATAATACTTATGCCATAAGATGCAGCGTGTTTTGGAGAAGGTTTTAGTCTATAATATGTTGGTGATTACTTGACCGGAACCTATATTTTTTTTACTTAGAAATAATGAATTTTTATTGTCATTAAATTTATTTTATTCAATTGTCATTTGTTTAAAATAAATTTTTTAATTCTATTGATTATGTTTACATACTACGCAGATTTCTTCACTTATAAGATCTGCAATTTCTTTAACCCTTCAGCACTTTCGCTATGAGATTTTCTCTCACGCTCATTAATTCTCAAATTTTCTTCCAAATTTCAAATGGAATGACTATGTGATTTTTTTTCTATCTGCCAAAAAATTAATATTATTTCAGATTGCAATATTATTATTTTAATTATTCTATAATATAAAAAAATAAAATAAATTTTGTTAACTCTGTGAGATATTTTCACTCATAGCAATAGTAAAGTAGAGGGGTCAGAATTTAAAAAATCGGGTCTGATCGTTACAGTTCGGAGGTTCCCGTAAGAGTGCATTTGTGTTTGAATGTATTATTATTAAATATTATTTTTAAATAAGTCAACTTTTTTGTTTTAAAAAATTTATCTTGTTTGAGATTTTTTAAATTAAAGGGGCTATAAGCATGCGTGCGCTTCCACAAAACGCGTAAGAGTTTTTCTCATCGCGCGAATAATGATAGTAAATCGTTTTGCGAGAGTGCTGAAGGGTTAAATTAACTGAAACTTTCAATGCTCATTACAAATTTTTTTTTTTTCATATCAATTATTATTTATTTTTGTAAGAAAGACACGGGAATGTTATAATGATTGCACATTGAAAATTACAATGAATATTAGTTAAAATAATTACATGGATAAAAAGTACATACCTATTCGACAGAATTTAGAATCTTCGCAAGTTGAAACAATACTCAATTAAATTTCAAGTCTATATCTAAAAATTCGAATTTTATAATGGGCGAGTAACAGCTAGTATATAATATATTGAAGGTGATAATTGAAAAGAAATATTTAACAAGATAAAATATTTCAAGCGTTAATCATTTTCCAAATTTTTTTAGCAGCAGTAGTATTTTTCTTTGCTAGAGTATTGAAAAAGTGATCCAAAAAAAATCTCTGAAAAAATCAAATTAATTATTTATAAAATACTAAATATAAAAAAAAATAATAAATACACTAATTGGAGTGATTAATAATTAATCATCTTTATTATTTAATTTAATTTTTTAACATAAACTAAAAATAATCAATATTAATAAAAAAAAAAAAAAAACTGCATTATAATTAATTGCTCTTTTCACTATTAACAACTAATTTTTGCAACTCGTCTTGTAGATTAGCAAAGTTTACTTGTAAATTTTTTTCCCTTGCTATCTGTTTGTTTACGTCACTCATAAGAGACTCAATCCTTCTTGGGATGGCAGCTTCCTCTTGAGTCTTCAAAAACTGGAACGTTGACAGCTCAAGCTGCGCCTGCTGGATCTGATCCAATAAGTCATTCAATTGTTTTGACAAAACTTGAGCCCTGGTTTGATAACCTCCAGTTAAGATTTTTAATTTCTTTTCCAGCTTGGCTGCTTTCTTTGCTTCTCCAGTCATGTGAGTCCTATTGTCCTCGAGCTTTTTCTCCAGGGACTCAACTCGGTCTTTCTTTGAAGCTAAATTAGCCCTGGTGTACCTCTTTTGAGTCTCTAAATACAAGATCTGGGACAAGCACTCCTCCCAAACAGTAGTGTAAGCATCCAAGCTAAGATCTCCATGAGCCATACCTTCTCTAACGACAGCCATTTCATCATCCAAGAGCTTCCTAGCGTTTTCCAAATCAGTCTTCTCAAAATCTTCATAAGGATTGTGGTCCAAGTAAGACTGAGCTTGCGAAAGAGCAGTATTCCTTTTATTACTCTGCTGGACAGGATTCTGGACCGCATCGAACATCATCATAGTGACCATCTCTCTCTTGATCAATTCCTCAGCTCGCTGAAAGTCAGTCAACGAGCCCTCCGTAGAAGACCTCAGTATATTCAAATTAACTTCAACCGGCCGAGGTAACCCTTTCTGAATAACCTGCGACCTTTTTTCCAGCTCCCTCTTCTGCTGCTCCATCAAATCTTGCTGCTTTCTAGCATCAATATCCGCCTGATCTTCAACAATATTCCTCTCAGATTTATCCGCCTCTTCCTCCATAGCTTCATTGTCCGACACAACTATCTGATAATCATTTTTAGCACTCGGCAAAGTGCTAAAATCAGCTTGCATTTGCTGTTTAATTCTTTTCCTAAGACCTGATGATTCAGAAGCTTCCAAATCTTCATTGGTAATAATGTTCAATTTATCACGAATCGGCGTAGCTGAAATATTTTTCCCACTTAGTGTCCTGGTAGATCCTGGAGTACTGAACGTATTGCTCAGTGGTGTTCCATCTCCATGTTGCGACCTGAAAGGCGTCGCCAAAATAGTATTTGGAGTAGCAACAGCCGAAGAGGAAGGAACAATGCTATTAAAATCAACATTGTGAAGCGGAGTGTTCAATCCTCCTTTCAAAGGCGTGTCTACATGTGTAAGAGCCATCACATTTTGAGTCTCTTGAAGAACTCTGTCCGTTACTGCAGGAGTCCTTGGAGTCACTGGTACATTAGGAGTCAAAGAATAGTCAGCTAACAAACTCTCAGAGGCTTCAATTCCACTCTCGCTGGCAATTTCACGCCCGATTTCAGAAGCGCGTCCTAGTTTTACTACTTGTTGGAGTTCTTGATCAGAAATTTGAGGCTCTGGTAGAACTAATTTACTTCTTTTACGAGGTGGTTCTTCGTTATTGAGAATTCCCATGGGAATATCATTTTCTTTACGCTGTTTAAGCTTCTGTTTGTCTTTCCGGCGTTCCAATTCTTCTTTTTCACTTCGCAAATCTCCGTCCAAGTGTTGTTGGCGCATGCGGCTGAAATCAGCAGCAAGAGGATCCACGTGTTCATTAGCTGTGTCGTAAAATCCCAACGCAGGTCGCTTCTCAAACGGAATTTCTGAATTGTAATTAATCCCGCGCTTACGTTTGTTTTTTTGAGAAACTGTAATACCAGCAGCTCTTAATTCTCGCCTTTTTTGAAGCGCAGCAAGTCGTCTAGCTTCCTCTAATTGTTTTTCTCGAGCTTTACGCTTAGCTTTCTTTCCTTGGGTGTTCGCCAACCTAGCACGAGCTTCTGAAAGCATCTCTAGCTCATCTTCATCCATATCCTTGGGGTCAGGACGCGCTGGTTTTGTCTCTGGATTGGGATCTATCTCTCCAGGCTTCAATTTTCTGAGGTCATCTATGTCCTCGTTGTCCTCTTTTTTTTGGGCTTGGTCCAGGAGAGATTCAAAGCGCTCCAAGCACTGGGCAGCAGTGCGACCAATTATTGGAGCGATCGTTCGCCATTGAGTAGGCATCAGCTTGGCTAAATGCAACAATTTCTCATCTTCTTCTCGGCTCCATTCGGTTTTCTTGATGCTGGGGTCCAACCACTCGAACCAACGGGCTTTACACTGTTTTGCTGATTTTCTGTGCAGCAATGATGCTATACGGCTCCATTGATTTTTTCCGTACTTCATCACAGCGGCTTTGAGGATTTCATCCTCTGTGTTACGCCAAATGCCACCTTTGATCATTATTCTCGGCATTTTGGATTAGTGTTGATGCACGTGGTGAATAATTATTATTATTATTATTATTTGGGCCTGGTAACCTAGAATTTTATAAGCACTGGTTTTAGTTTTATTCTTGATTAAATGGTTATAATATTGAAGTTAGCAGACGTTTTTAATTAAATTTTTTCTTATCATTTTATTTTAACAATTTTTTCAATAAAAATTTTCAGATGTCGGCTAGTTTAATTTTCATGAAAATTAAGTTAGACGACAATAAAAAAATTTTTGTTTTTTTTTATTAATTAAAAATTAGAACTAAAAAACTATTTTTAAAAAAATTCCACGGATAATTTTTTAAATTTTCTACTTGTCAAAATTTTTGTTTTAATTTTTAAAAAATTATTTTTCAAAGAAATAAGTCATAAAAATTTTTTAATGTCAGCTAATTTAATTTTCATATGAAGTTAGCCGACATTTTTTATTCTTTTAATTTGCTTTATTTATTAAATTATAACTAAAAAATATTTTTAAAAAATTGCACTTATAGTTTTTAAAGTTTTTAAAAAATGAAATTTTTTTTTTATAATAATTCTCTAATAAAAAAAATAAAATTATTTAGATGTCAGCTAACCTAATTTAACTTAGATGTATGTTCAATATATTATAAATGAAAATTAATTTTGCAGATATTTTATAATTCTTGAAATAAATAAATTATGGAAAAAAAAAATTGATATTTATAAATAAAGAATGCAATTTTTTAAAACAAATTTGTTGATGAAATAAAATTAAAAATTGATCTGACTGCTAACTTTAATGTCGTATATCTTAATATTTATTTTAATGATAATTTACCTGGTTGATAACAACAATTTTTTTTTTTATCAGCACTAATATTTAACAACTTATTTTAATGCAAAACTTATAATACAATGCAACACAATTTTATATATTTGTATTGTAATAAGGTTATTATTACTGGAAAACAGCAAAACGATTAATATAATATATACGTTTTAGAAGTTTAGAAGTTTTAATGGCTTCGGTCAATAATAATAACAAGTAGAGGCGCTGAAAGCTGCGAAGAAGAAGGGGAAAAAACATTGATGTTGCGCCTTTAGGTAGTTCATGAAAATAAAAATAAATTTTCCTGTAGATGGCGACTCTGTTTTTGTCTTTCTCCGGATATATTATATAAAATGTCTTTTTACTCAACCGTCAGTTGTGTTAACCTAGCCTCTAAAAAATTCCCGCCTAATGTGGCTTGTAAACATTCTAAATAAAAATAGCCAATGTATCAGTTTTTATTTCAATTAACTAATTAGTCATAAAAAGTATTCAAAAATGTATATCAAGTCGTTAATCCTTGATGGTTTTAAGTCATATGGTAAAAGGATTGAAATAAATGGCTTTGACAAAGAGTTTAATGCAATCACCGGATTAAACGGCAGCGGAAAGTCTAATGTTTTGGATGCTATTTGTTTTGTCCTTGGTATCACAGCTCTTGGACAGGTAATATTAATTTATTTTGATTATGACATGAAAATGAGCAGTTATTTGATTATTCTTTAATTTTTATTAAACAAAAACTTGTTAAATAATATTAATTTAAAAAAAATTACTTTTATAACTTTTTAAAAATTTCTATAATTTTTTTCCCTCATTTTTTTCGCTATAATTTATTTGTTACAAAAATTATCAATAATAATAACAATAATAATAATAATAATAATAATAATAAAATTAGCCGACATTTTTGATTTTTTTATTTTGCTTAATTTATTAATTTATAACTAAAAAATATTTTTAAAAAATTGCACTAATAGTTTTTGAAATTTTAAACGAATCAAAAAATTTTTTGTAATAATTCTTTAATAAAAAAAATCAAAAATTTTTAAATGTCGGCTAACTTTATTTTCATTCAATTATCTGCTGAATTAATTTTAAAATTTACATCATATTTTAAAATAAAAATTAAGCTAGCCATCTAAAAATTTTCAGAATTTTCTTTATTATTAAAAAAAAAAACATTACAAAAATAAATTTTTCATTTGTAAAAAATTACAATTTTTTAAAAATATTTTTAGTTTTAATTTAATAAATAAAAATATTTTAAAGTGTCTGCTAACTTTTAGTATATTACATAATAATGAAAAATTAGTCATCCAACAATTTGAATCGGGTAGTCTGGCTTATAATATTAACCATATTTGATTTAATAAATTATTATTATTATTATTATTATTGCTTGCACCAATCCCTCGAACATCAGTCTTACAACATTCATTCCTAGTCGTTGGGACTAACTTCTGGAACTCTTTACCGCCAACTATTACTTCGTCGACGTCGTTTGATGTGTTTAAAGCTGCTTGTTATAATTATCTGATGACAATTGAGCGTGCTGAAGTTGCTAAAGAGACATATTGATATAACCTAGTGCAATTTTATGTTCTATTCTCCTTTTGTTTTTTTGTTATAATTTAGTTAATTTGCATTGACGTTGAGAGACCATATAAAAGAACAATATCCTCTTACATTCAACTACTTATTGTAAACTATATTTTTCATTAATCTAAACATTGTACACTCTGTATATTTTTGTATCTGCTTTAGGCCGTTAGAGGATTTTATCCTACGGCCTCTTAAATAAATTACAATTACAATTACAATTATTATTATAAATGACATTGTTTAATTATTAATTAATAATTATTTAGGTCAGAGCGACGTCGCTCCAAGAATTAGTCTACAAATCAGGCCAAGCTGGAATCAAGAAAGCCGTAGTAACAATAACATTTGACAATTCAGATAAAAAAGCCTCACCAATTGGCTATGAAAACTACGACGAGATCGCAGTGACACGTCAAATAGTAATCGATGGAAAGAATAAGTACCTGCTAAATGGAACTAATGTCACGAATCAGCGAGTCCAGGATATGTTTTGTTCCGTACAACTCAACGTAAATAATCCCCATTTCCTCATAATGCAGGGTCGCATTACAAAGGTCCTCAACATGAAGCCCTTGGAGATTCTCTCGATGATTGAAGAAGCAGCCGGGACCAGGATGTACGAAGAGAAGAAGGAATCAGCGATGAAGCTGATCGACAAGAAGAAAGCCAAGCTCAAAGAGATCAATGATATTCTTGAGGAAGAAATTAACCCGAGGTTGGTTAAATTGCGCGAGGAACGGGCTCAGTATTTAGAGTATCAGCGGGTAGAGCGTGAGTTTGAAATTTGTAAAAAAATAGTCACCGCTTGGAAATATTACTCAGCTGTAAAAACCAGCGATAAAACAAATGCTGATTTGAATAAAATCCAAGCTGATATTGACGCTAAGCAGGAAGCTATTGAAGAAGGAAAAGAGCAGATTGTAAAGATAGAAAGTGATGTTAAAGAGTTGATTGATAAAATGGAGAAAGAGAAGAGCAACAAGCTTGAAACAATGGAGCAAGAATTGAAGGTTACCGAGAAAAAGGAGATAAAATTGTCCGCTAAAATCAACAGTGACAAAGAAAGAATTAAAACTGTTGTTCATGAGCTTGATCAGTTGAAAAAAAGCTTGGAGGATGATATCCAAGGAGCTGAGCAACGAAAGAAAGACTTGGAAGAATTTGGAGGAAAGTTTGATAAATTAAGACAAGCTCAAGAAGAAGACGCAGCTGCTGTGCTTGCTGCTCAGGATAAGTACCAGAAAATCAGCACCGGGCTGCTTGAAAATGAAGATGGAGAAAATGCAACGTTGTGCCAACAATTGATGGATGCTAAGCAAGCAGCTTCTATGGCTGAGACGGTAATAAAACAGACGGAAATGATTACTAAGCACGATTGCGAGCAGCTTGCAATTAAACAGCGTGATTTGAAGAATACTAACAGCGACCATACGCGAATTGTTAAAGAGCTGAAGGAAAAGGAACAATATTTGAAGAGTTTAGAAACTAAATTGAACCAGATTAATTATACAGAAGGTAATTTGGAGAAATTACAGCACCAAAGGCAGCAATTAAATCAAGAAATCCGCGGTATTAATGATCAAATTGACAATTTTTTGGACCGCTATCCGAATTTAAGGTTTGACTATTCAAATCCTGAGCCTAATTTTAATCGTAAAGCCGTTAAAGGATTGGTTTGTACTTTGTTTGGGTTAAAGGAGAGAAATGCTGCGTATGCTTTGGAAGTCGCAGCGGGGAATAAATTGTATAATGTAGTTGTAGATAAAGAAACTACTAGCAAAGCTTTGTTGCAAAGAGGGAATTTACAGAGGCGTGTTACGATTATTCCTCTTAATAAAATCAGCGGGCAGAAAATTAATGAGGCTACTGTTAGATCTGCAGAGCAATTGGTAGGAAAAGATAATGTAAAAACAGCTTTGTCGCTAATTGAGTATCCTAATGAGTTATCAGCAGCTATGTCGTTTATTTTCGGGAATGTTTTTATCTGCAAGGATTTGACCGTTGCCAAAAAGGTGGCTTTTGATAGGAATATAATGACCAAGTGTGTTACGTTAGAAGGAGACGTTTGCGATCCTTCGGGAACTCTTTCTGGAGGAGCTCCAGCTTCTGCGGGGTCTATTTTGACTAAAGTGAGCGACTATAAGGTCTTGTTGAATCAGTTGGAGACCAAGCAGGCGAATTTGGAGGCACTTGATCTTGAAATTACCAATGAAACTCCCAAAGCTAAGCGCTGGAGTAAAATTAAGGAGCAGTTTGTCCTTCAGGAGCATGAAGTTGAAGCTGCGAGGCAGATGTTGGCTGTTGATGAGCATTTTCAATTAGAGGAAGAGATTAAAAGTCTCACGGAGAAGATCAAAGCTGCTGAGGAGAAGATTAAGGTCAATAGAGAGTTGAAAAAAAAGAATGATGCGAGGGTTAAAGTTTTGGAGAAGCAGCTGGAAGATATTGACAGTGTTCAGGAGCAGCAGTTGAAGGAAGTCAAGAAGCAGCTGGAGTTGCTGCAGAAGAAGGCTAGTGCTAGTAAGAAAGAGTGGGAGAAACATGAGAGCGATGCTCAGATGCTGGTTATGCAGGTTGAGGAGGATAAGAAGACTATTGCTCATGATGAGGAGCAGATTAAAAGGACTGAAGAGAGGCTGGGTGAGTTGCAGCAGCAGCACGATGTTGATTTGGAGGAATTAAGGAAGTTAGTTGAGGAAATTAAGGAGAAGCAGGAGGAAGTTAAGCGCCATAAGGTGCTGGTTAATCAGCAGAATCAGGAAGTGCAGAGATTGGTTGCTAGGAAGGAAGAAATTAAGAATTTAAGTAAGGAGTATGAGCTTGATATTAAAAAGTTGACTCATGAAATTGGGACTATTAAAAGTAACGCTGTTGATTGTCAGCAAAAAATTAAAGATTTGGTAAAAAACAATCCTTGGATTGAGCAGGATAAAAAATATTTTGGAGTTCCGGGGAATATGTATGATTTTGAAGCGAAAAATCCGACGAATTTAATTGATGAGTTAAATCATCTGAAGGAAAATAAAGAACAGATGAGTCGCTCTGTTAACACTAGAGCGATGAATTTGCTATCGATGGAAGAGGACAGGTACAATGAGACTATTAAGAAGAGGACTACTGTTGAAAATGATAAGAAGAATATTTTGTTTACGGTTCAGGAGTTAGAAGAGCAGAAGAAGAATACTCTCATGACTGCTTGGGAGCAGATTAATAAAGATTTCGGGTCGATTTTTAGCAGCTTGCTTCCTGGAGCTAAAGCAAAGCTGCAAACTCTCCCGAATAAAAATGTTCTTTCGGGTCTGGAGGTAAAAGTTGGCTTTGGGAATGTCTGGAAGGAATCTCTGGGGGAGTTATCGGGAGGTCAAAGATCTTTGGTGGCTTTGTCGCTGATTTTGGCGATGTTGAGGTACAAACCTGCTCCTCTTTATATTCTTGATGAGGTTGATGCTGCATTGGATCTCTCGCATACTCAGAATGTTGGGACTATGTTGAAGAAACATTTTAATAATTCGCAGTTTATTATTGTGTCTCTCAAAGACGGGATGTTTAATAATGCCAATGTTTTGTTTACTACTAAATTTATTGATGGGATGTCTTCGATTAGCAGAGAGGAGAAAGGGAGGAGGCAAAATAATGCTGACCGGGAAAATAATCCAAGTTGTTGATGTTAAGTGAGTAAAGGATTTTTTTGTAAAGTAATTTAAGATAGATTAATTAATTTTCTACGGTATAATATTAAAGTTAAATAATTTAATTTAATAATTGAAGTTTATTGTAATAAAAAAATTAATACTTAAAATTATAGTGGCTTGGTTGAATTATTGAGCTAATTATAAAACGTCATTTCCTTTTTCCGTATAATCGCAGAACGTGAGGAAACGGTTGGACGTGTGATGAATGAATTTTCTTATCTTAGTTATTATTGTTATTGTTGATGTTCATTCTGGCGCTGGCAATCCTCTGCAACGGATGCCCGATAAATTTAACATGGCAACAACAACTTGATGGGAATGAAAACCAATCTGGCCCGACTGTTCCGTTGATTCTTATTGCTGCTAATTGACGATAAATAAATTTTTGTTTACAGCTTGTCACGTAACCTTCAGCGAATTTCTCTATCAGTTTACAACTGGTGTTTTCAGTTCTATAAATAATTTTAATTTATTTATTTTATTTATCATTAAATTTATTAATAATTAAATTTATCACATAGGTACTTACATGCATTTTTCAATACGAACTCCTTGAAGAAAATCATCTTCATTAATTATAAACAGCCACTCGTTTTGTTTATTTTGAGCTGACTTTGGAAATGTTACTGTTGACTGCAAATTATAAATAATTATTATATTAAATTTAACAGACATTTAAACATATTTTAGATTATTATAAATTATAACAATTAAATTATAATGAAAAAAATTTCACTATGAGATTTCCATGACTTGTGAACTATAAAAAATTAAATTTTACTTTATTAAATGACGACTTTTGTTAAATTCCACTGTACTTTGTTAACTATTGACGTTGTTAAAGATATAAGCTCATACTGATGTTACATTTTTCATATATACATATACATAATATATATAAATATTTGAAATATATGAAAAATTGATGTGGGTACTCAAATGAAAGGTCTTAATGAGTGTAACATCAGGATGAGCTTATATCTTTAAAAATGTCAGTAGTTTACAAGAAACAAGGTCATTTCTTAATTATTGATATTTTTAAAGATATAAGCTCATCCCGAAGTTACAATCATCAAGAGCTTTCATTTGAGTACTCACATGCATTTTCATATATTTTTTATATATACACATATATAATATATATAAATATATGAAAATATATAAAAAATTGATATGGGTACTCAAATGAAAGGTCTTGATGAGTGTAACATCAGGATGAGCTTATATCTTTAAAAATGTCAATAGTTCTCAAGATACAAGGTCATTTCTTAATTATAAGTGCGGATTTTTTAAAATATTTTTTTTTTTATAATAATTTATTTATTATAAAAATATAAAAAATTTTTATGTCTGGTAATTTCAGTATTATAAATATTTATTATTTAAATAAATTAATTTTATTTTATACTTACATCAACAGCACACAGAGAATCATCTTCAGGAAGATCAATTCGTTGACTAATTTCAGGTGACTAAAATTAATAAAAAATTTTTTACTTACAATTTTTTCTCTAGATTAAGTAATTAATTAATTAATGTATTAATTACCTCATCTACAAAGGACAAATATTTTAAATCTTCCATATTTTTAATAGTATGCTTAACATACTCCTTTGGATAATTTGGTACATACTCGCAAAATGTCGAGTTATAGCAACCAGGAGCTAATTCTGGCGTGTAATTAATTTCAGGCTCTGAAGGTTTTTCGGTGGGAAATATTATTTTATCTGATCCTGGCGCTGAAATAAATTAATTTTATTATTATTATTATAAAATAAAATAAAATTGAATTAATAAAAAAAATGAATATACTTACAACTGAAACGGATATGTCGTTCATTTGAACTACGGGAATTGTTAAATCCCATTGAATTTTCTTCGTAATTATACGACGCACGACTGTCAGGAAAAGCCTGTGTTTCCTGCTGCAACACCTGGGGAATCACAAATAGAATAATTAATTAAAATTGAGGTAAGTTTTAAATTAACCATCAGATACGACTACTTAGAAACACTTATAATTATTAATAAATTTAATTCATCCTTGGTCTGGAGATTGTTATCAGGTTTATGTATTCTTTGTTAAACTTTGTTATTTTACTAGATGTTATTACGTAGGTTGTAAAAAAAATGTCGAACTGAATTAATGAACTAGAACATTTTTTTTTTTTTGGTGACGGGAAATTTTTTACAAGGTCAACTACTTGTTAAAATTTTACTTTTTGTTTATTAAAATAATTTATTATTTTATGATACCTAAGCTGTAAAATTAATTTAGCCGACATCTAAAAATTTTTTTAATTTTTTTTTATTGATAAAATTATTAATTTTTAGATTAATTATTATTAATAATTAATTAATTAATTAATAATTTTTATTAATTATTAATTTTTATAATTTTTTTTTCATTAAAAAAATTATTAAAAAAAATTAAAATCTATTTATAAAAAAAATCGAAAAATTTTAAGTGCAATTTTTTAAAAAATTCTATTTAAAAAAAAAATTAACAATTGCTAACTTAAATGTCATTGTTATTTTTTTTTTTTAGTAATTTAATCTTCAAAATAAAAATAGATTTTTTTTAAGTATTTGAAGGTCCTTTCGCCATCAATGTTAAATAAAAAATATTAGATCATGCATAAAATTAATTTTTATCTAATAGTTAAAGTCTTTATGTATCTACTAGTGAAGTTTAATTTATACTTCACCGAGGAAATTTTTGAAAAAAAAATTTCTAAAAATGTTAGTATTTTTTCCGAGTCTTACGAGAAAGTCAGACCTTAACAACATTCTCGAATTATGGCATTAACCACCGATTAGATGGGGTAAAAAAAAAACTCAAAATAAGATTTTCAAAATATTGAGGTTTGATTTTTTGCAATAAAATATATAGGTTGCCGTGGAATTTATGGAGAAATTATAATTATAAAATCACAGAAAATTTTTAAGTAACCTACATTTAAATGGCGTCAGAACATTTGGCAACGTTGTGTAGTGCGCGATCTTCAAACCATTCAATAAATTCAAACTAAACTTTAACGCGCTTATGTTTTTCATACATACTTATTAGTTAATTTATTGTTAACAAATTTTCATAATTCATAATTGAAAAATAAAACAATAATTTAAAAATACTAGCATTCCTGCCATGAGATATTAGAATGTTACGGTTTTGTGACTAAACATTTTTAATTAATTTATTTATTTACATTGACTGCAAAAAGTTAAACATGGTTAAGGTTATATTGTGCAAATAAAAATGTAAACAACCGAAATAAAGCGTTGCCAAATCACGGACAGTTTACTAACAGCTGATTTACAAGAGTCAAATTAATTTTTGTATTTAACTATTTTTTTTATTAATTTTCAAAATTTCAACGATTAATGCCTCATATACTATTTATTTTTTAATTTTAGGAATTTTTATGGGTTTTTTATTTTAATTTATCGAATATTGACTACTACAATTGTTGTGACTCAACTGGAGCGAAAGGACTTCCTTAATGTCAAAATAATTGTTTTAGATTTAAAAAAAAAAATATTTTTAATTGCTCACTGATAAAATGATGTTAGAAAAATAAAATCATATTTTGACGGATTAAAAATTAAATTAAAAACAACAAGTGACTAATAAATAAATAAAAAACTTACGTAAATAATAAATATTAGGAAAAACTTCATATTTAAAGATAAGAACGAAGTTTAATAAGAAATTTATTACACTTTAAATGAAACTACAAAGTAAAAATATATCCAATCATAGTGATAAAAATTTTAATTAGGAAATAATTTTAAAATAAAGGGACCAAACTGTAAAAATCCACGATAAAATATATTTCTATAAATAATATATTTTTTTAAATAAATTAAGGGATATAAAATAAATAAAATAAATATTAATGATAGCCGTATCACTATCAAACAAAAATTGACCCGCACTCTTTAAGCTATCAGGCCAATGTGATTCCTCTCTAAAATTGTATTAACACTCACATAACTTATTTTCTCTTTCCCTGTGTACTAAAATGAAGTTAAGGCATCAATAAAGTCCAAGATGATGATTAAGTGGTCAGAATGTCTGCGAGAAGTAGGCAAGTGGGGAACAATCATCGTAACATATTGATAGGAAGGGGATATGACCGGTTTCCGTTTTTAATACCTAGCAATCATAAATAAATAAATAATAATAATATATTACTTATGTCAAGTTAACATTTAAATCATTATTCTATGCTAAGAAAATTCATTTAAATGATCTACTGAAATAAATACTCAAGTCAGCTGACATCTGATGATTTTTAGGATTTTTTTTTTTTTATAATTAAATTATTATTTATTTATTTATTTATTATTTGATTTCAATGCCAAGGCAGTATAGCTAAATGGCAAAAGTATACAAAAAAAATTATTATGAAAATTAATTTAGCAGATACTCAATTATTTTAAGAATTTTTGTAACAAATAAATTATAGTAAAAAAATATTGACAAGTAGAAATTTTAAAAATTAGAAAATGCAATTTTTTAAAATAAATGTTTTTGTTAAAAAATATTGAAAAATGGTCAAGTGACAGCAAACTTTAATGCCATAAAATTATAATAAAGCACACGTATGTGATTTTGAAAAAAATGATTTTTTTTTAATTTTGATTGTAATTATGATAAATACAAGAAAGTATAAATTTCAATATAAAAATTAACAATTAAAAATTTAGAATTAAAGAGTTAAAGTTAAAATTGCAAAATATAAAAATATGATAATTTAAGAAGATAAAAAAAAAAAAAAAAAAAAGAAGATAAATATAGTAGCAAAAATGTATGAATGAATATCAACAGTTTAAAATTAAAATTCAATTACAATAAAAATTTTCTAAAAAATTCCACTTGTGGATATCAAAAAATATTTATTGTTGCTTTTTTTTTTTTTTAAGTAGTAATTTATTTGTTGTAAAAATCCAAAAATTGACAGTTAACAGCTAACTTTAGCTTCATTGAAATAAATATAAAAATTAAGTTAGCCGAAATTTAAAAATTTTTAGAATTTTTTTTATTGAAAAATCATTACAAAAAAAATTTCATTTGAAAAACTGTAAGTGCAATTAAAAAAAAATATTTTTTGTTCTAATTTAATTGTTAAAAAAAAATTCAAAAATTAAAAACGTCGGCTAACTTTAGTATCATTAAATAAATGAAAATCAAGTTAACTGAAATCTAAAAATTTTTAGAATTTTTTTTTATTGAAAAAATGATAACAAAAAAAATTTGAAAAACTGTACGGTTGCCCAATTTCAAAACACAGTAACTAACAGCAATACTAGAAAAAATCAGGTATAAAAATTTTGCAGTTACTGTGTTTTAAAATTGGGCAGCCGTGTAAGTGCAATTTTTAAAAAATATTTTTTTGTTGTAATTTAATTAAAAAAAAAAAAAAAAAAAAAAAAAAAAACGTCGGCTAACTTTAGTATTATTAAATAAATATACTTTTTTAATTAATCACCAGTAAGATTTATTCGACAGATATAAAATAATAATAATTGATTTATCAAAAACTGTACATTTTAAAATTACACAAACCAAAGTATTAACTAATAAATGAACAAAAAAAAATTCAAAATTCAAGTTTAATTTAAATTAAATTTTACAATCTATTAAGAACACTTTGAATGGACCTAAGTCTTGAAATTAATTCATCACTGTTAGGTTTACTGAAGAGAGTAGTGAGACATTTAGAAATAATGTCCTGGCACTTGGTAATAACTTTTCTGCGTACAAAACTGTTTCCAATATTGGTATTAGTTGTGAAATAAGTCACAAGATTAGCAGTGGAGTCAATTAAATGAAACTCGTTGCCTTCGTTCAACCAAATCCGGTTATTTCCGGTGTTTAATTTGTCGTAGATCTCCATGAGGTCTTCAACAGCAACACCCAGCTGCAAGAACCCGGTGATGATCTCAGTGTTAGAAACTTGGAGCCTGCAAGCTCGAATTTCTAATTCTTTAATTAAATAGTCCAGAGGAAAACAATTTGGAGTTCCTGAATATTCCTGACCCAGAATTTTAATCTTGCTCATCACAACTGTGATCTTGTCTTCCGGAGAGAGTGAGAAAGAATTTTTCAGCTCGTTGTCGATGATGTTGCTCCAGATTCCTTGGACGAGCATGGTGTCTTGGTGACCGGAGCAGTGAATAATTGCCAGCTTGCACTCCCAGAGCTGCAGAGGATCTGCGTAGTCTTCATACAGCTGAGTGATGTCCAGCAAAGATGAATTTAAGCGCAGCTTGGCGTCCTTGACCGTCATTGGATCGTAAAGGCGGTGTTGGTTGGTTATTGTGGTCAGTATTTGCTGTTGAATCCTAGCTACCTCGACTTTGTCTTCTAGCTCGCGCAAGAAGACTCCTAAATAAGGCGCGTAGCCGGCTTGGTCGCTGCGCATGCAGACCACAGCGCGTGCTAAGTATTTTACTCGCTGAGCTAAAGGTACTTCTGGGTCTGGCTTCGTTGCCAAAGAGTCCAAAATTTGAGCTGCCGCAGCATGATTCTTATTTCTTTCGTAGAACTGCCAGAGTAGTTCGGGATTGTTATTACGGATTAAGTAGGCTTCGAGGGATGGAGCTGCTAGTGCTACTAGTTCACCGTCCAGGCCTTTGTCTTTCATCCAGTTGTAGACTGACTCGTGGAGAACCTCGCAGGGACTGTGTAGAGCGTCGTCAATTATTTCGTGGAGCTGGAAAAATTTTAATTTGTGTTAAAGAAATTTTGTGGCCAGTTTATTTATATGATAAAATGGGTTTTTATGGTATCGTTGGAAAAGTTTTGAGCTGGAGTGCCTTTTCATGGTTTCATATCATTCTCATTAATAGTCAATTTATGATAATAAATATTTAGGCTGCATTTAAAAATTCGGTATCTCTAGATACATAATTAAGAAATTACCGATTTCTTGTGAACTATTGAGAATTTTAAAGATATAAGCTCATTTTGATGTTACACTCATCAAGAGCTTTCATTTGAGTACCCACATCAATTTTTCATATATATATATATATATTAATTAAAATAATATACTTTTAATGTTGCTATTTTTTTTTCTATTTTAAAAATATAAAAATTTAATTTTTTAAAGGTGACCTAACGGCCATCTCTAGACATTCCGTATTTTTGAAAAGTCTATCTCAATGAAAGGTATATATTATTTTTATTACAAGATTTACGAATCCACGACGAATAACAGAATTTTTTTTTTAATTATTTCGAAAATAACTGAACTTTTCGATTGTGATAGCTTAAAATACGTAAAATCTCATTCAATGAATAAATAAATAAATACCTTTGATATTACATCAATATTATAGGGTCCAGGCTTAAAATTAACTAATATTGTGAATCATCGAGTTTAGAATCGGCTGATTTAACGAATTACCGATTTTAGAAACGGCCAATTTTAATAATTACCGAGTTTAGAATCGGCTGATTTCACGAACTACCGATTTTAGAAAAGGGCCAGTTTTAATAATTACAAAATTTAGTATTGGCTAAGTTCAAGAGGTAAAGTTTTAAAGTTTCAATATTTAGTACTTTCCAATTTTTAAAGATCGTATTTTTAAATAACCTTTTTTTTAATATTACGCTTTTTTAGATGTTCAAATTTTTCGTTTATTTATTTTTTAATTCGTCCAATTTATAATTATTTCTTTTTTTTTATTCGGTAATCTTCAGACTTGTAAGATTTTATAAATTCTTTTTTTTTTAATTTCCGATTTTATGAATAACTTTATTTAGAGATTTCCATTTTTAAAGTTGGCTGTTTTTTCAATTTGCATGTTTTCCTACAAGCTTAATTTACTTAAGACATAATTTACATTTTTATTGTTTCAATATTATCATTTTTTACGTTTAACTTATTTTATAAACAACTAAGTTTAAAATATTCCAATTTTAGATTTTAGAAACTTCCAAATTTAGGGATTTCCATAAATCCCTAAACATAGAAACTGACTCGAATTAATGACCGCGATTGTATATATGTAGATATGAAAAATATATCAAAATGCATGTAGGTACTCAAATGAAAGCTCTTGATGAGTGTAACATCGGGATGAGCTTATATATTTAAAAATGTCAATTGTTAAGAAAGTACAGTGCAATTTAACATAATTAAGAAATAACCTTGTATCTTGTGAAGTATTGACATTTTTAAAGATATAAGCTCATCCCGATGTTACATTCATCAAGATCTTTCATTTGAGTACCCACATCAATTTTTCACATATTTTTATATTATATATGAAAAATATATGAAAAATTGATGTGGGTATTCAAATGAAAGCTCTTGATGAGTGTAACATCAGAATGAGCTTATATCTTTAAAATTGTCAATAGTTAACCAAGTACAGTGCAATTTAACAAAATTCATTATTTAATAAAGCAAAATTTTATTTATTTGCTGTTCATAAATCACAGAGTGACTGCAAGGTTGCTAGTTTAAAATAAATAAATAAACTTACAATTTGTTTAGCAGGAGCAACAGCAGTAGTATTATTATAAGTAGGAGGTCCAGGCTTGCTAGGAACAGTCGGAGTCAACGGATTAGACATACTCTGATTATAAAGACAATCCAGCATGATAGTAATTTCTTTATAAATATCTTGCCGCCTTGAGTACGCCAAGAACCCTTCTTGATCCTCCGGAGGTTTATTATTTTTATAATAATGCATAGCTGCATTATTCGGATCACTTTTTTCCGCGCAGCAGAGACAAAGTTCCAGAGCCCCGGTGTAGAAATGACAAGCCACAAACTGCTGGCACACGGCTGACAAATTTAGTCTCGGCGCTACTGTTTTACATAATTTAAGAGCTGACTGCAAACAAGATTCTTTTTCCTCCGGGTTAGTACAATTTTTAGCTTTAAGAATAATTTCATTAGCCTTCGAGCAAACAGCGTCTTCACTTTTATACAAATTCGGGCAAACTTCCCTAAGTTTCGCACTCACAGTATCAATCGACGCATTATCACCTAGATAACTGTCTATAAGATGGAGAATTAGCAGAGAAGAAATTTCATGACCAATTAATATTAAATCCCTGAAAGTTGCAGTAGAGAATTGATTCACCTGATCTTTTGATAAAGAACTAACAATATTATGCAGCTGATTTTCACAGAGAATTTTCCAAAGCCCCAGAACTTCGCACGCATGTGTAATAAATATTTTCAATGCATCAAGAGAATTTCTTTCTTCAACCATCGGTTCTTGGTACTGAGTAAGCGAATTATCAAACCCATCAGTAATATTCCTCGAAGTGTTGTTATGATGCTTAGAAATGTGAGTATTTTTATTTAAGAACGCTCTTAAGGCCTGAAGATGTCCTAAAATCCATCCGACTTGAATTGAAGAAACAGTGCTTGTAATTTGAGTTTTATTATTACAAGTCTCGCTTTTAATGCACCTGATATTCCAAATTGGCCTTAAAATCCTTCCGATGTACAAATAAAGCCCCTCGTGCTTTGCAGAAAATTCCTGCTGGTAGCTTTGATTTGCATTCCTAAAATGTCCCGGAAGAATATCAAAATTCCCCAATCTAGGAGTTGAAGTACAGACATTAAATCCATAAAGATCCATATTCTGATTAACATTTCTCTGACTGCCGTACAAAAAGAAAGCTCTGGTGGCCCACTCGGACAACTGAGCATTCTGCGTGCTCTCCAGAGTGGCAAGAATCAAGCAAGTCGCGCAAGCTTGCTCGGGACTTTGACTCAGAAAATAATCCCTGACTAATTCAGTATCAGGCCCGCGTTGCTCTAACAAAAGCTGGCGGAGAATATCAACCGGCCGAAGCTGGACTAAAATAACAGCGCCTTGCGCTGTTAAAAAGATAAACTTCCTTGGAGGCTCCATGTGTTGCCGGACCAGCAGCGGCGGGTCATGCATGGCCTGCTTGTCAATGTGAATCGCAGGCTCTCCGGGGATCTCCGCCATGGCCCAGGCTGGACTGTCAAACGGTAAAATGCTCTGAGTCTCTGCAAGGTAATTTGTAAAAGGATAAGCGTCATTACTGAGGCACCAAGCAGTCTCTACTTCACCACCGCAGACTAAAATCAGCGTTCCTTTTTTGTAATGAGCCATCTGGACCTTCCGGGGCCGCATTACCGGCGCGTTAGCAGCGTAGCCTGGTGGTAAACGGACGTGAACTAACTGCAAGCATTGAGGACGAGTTCCGGGGTTTGTTACTGATGTACAAGTGAAGTAGAACCTGGTACCAGTTGCTGCGACCGCTACTAAGTTAACATGGACTGACTCGGACTCGGTAATTGCTGAGATGCTGACCAGAGGTCGGAAATTATTGCTATCTAGAGTCTTGACCACGTGGACTGTGTTCTGGACGAGAGAAGACTGGGAGAGAGTCGTTATTTTTGAAGCTCCTGCGTCAATGTCCCAGACTGTGATGGTTCCTTTATCTCCGAGAGTGTATAAAATATTTCTTGAGTCATCTACGCTGATTTGGACTATCGCTTCCTCTTCTGAGAGAGCCACTGTTACAAATGAGGGAACTAAGAATGATAAAGGTCCTTCAGAGTGGTTCACTTTCTTGCAGCGCTTCCCGAACCAGCTGCTCTCGGCTTGGTAGTGGATCTCATAGAGACTTCCATTGCGACCACCGAGGAATATTCTACCGCTGTTGGTGTTTGCTATTGTGGTAATTGCTACGCCGTCGGTGGTCACTGTGAAAATTGGCTCGGGTACTAGCTGGATCTCTCCCTGAGTTCTGTCGCTTTTGTCCATCAACGTGACACCTAAAAATAACATTAAAGCTAGCTTGATTAATTTTTAATTTTATTTAAAAATTAAATTAATTCTAAAAAATTGGATTTTTAATTTTTTTAAATTTCTACATGTCAATTTTTTTTTTATATTTTTTTTTGCCATAATTTAAGGTAAAAGCCCCAATTATTGACACTATTAGAAACAAAGTTTTGATTTAATTTTTTTTAATCAATCAAATATCAATATCGTTGAATTTTGTTTGTGGTAATGTCTCAAGTAATGTTTTTACTAATCAATTTCTTTTTTTTAAATGATAATCACTGATATTTACTAATTAATTTTAAATAATTAAATAGATTATCCGGATATACCAATTATTGGTTAAAAAAGTGATTGATCTAATTATTGACATACCTTCACCCCAATTATTGACACCTATCCTAAGCATGCCTAGAATCATCTGCTTATTCTGATTAAAGTTTATTAATAATAATTTCCATAAATGATTAATTACTTTTAAAAATATAAAAATTTATTTAAAAATAATTTATTTAATCAGAAGAGTTCAAACTCTTACAGTTAATTTTTTTGGTTAAAGTAAAAAAAAGGCGTGATAGCGCTGTCAATATCAGATTCAACTTAAAAATTGTAAACATTATTGACACCCATTATTTAAATGTTATAAAGCATACAATTAATTTCGATTATTTAATTTTATAAATCATATATATTTTTATTTAAAAAAAAAAGAAAGATCATATTATTAGATGAAGAAATTAATTTAAACAGCATTTAAAAAAATTGCTTTTCTAACCAAAGTTGTTAAGAAAATAGACGCTCGTAAGGTTTTAACTGGTGCTAACTTTATTTTTTAATAATTAATATTTAATATTAACTTACAGTAATTTTTTTCAATTTTTTAATTAATTAGAATT